TTCAGACTGCTGATGGTGCGTCCTGTGCCAAGAATTCAAACGAAAATTAAAAACCTTTTAGTTACTACGTAATCTGGCTTAAAAGCTACTTGTTCCAGTGAATTTCATTCCCTAGTCGCGCTAAATGAACACGTTACGCGCCATCAATGTTTCGCCGTTCCACTCAGCGAATTGATTCCTACACCCCTTCTAGGAGGACGCACTTCATCGACCTGTCGACTGTTACCTTTGCGGAACTTGACAAGCAGCTCCCAAATGCCTCGACGTGAAAAGGGGTCGACGCCGGCCGTCGGCTCGTCCAGGAAGACGACCTTGGAGCCGCCCACGAAGGCCATGCCCACGGACAGCTTACGCTTCATACCCCCAGACAGCGTGTTGGCGAAGGCCTTCCTCTTCTCCTCCAGGTCCATCTCGCTCAGCATCATGTCGATATCGCCCTTGAGCTCCTTCTCCGACATCTCCTTGATGCGGCCGAAGAAGAGCAGGTGCTCCTCCACCGTCAGACTGCAGAGGACACGGACAGTTAGGGGTCAGGGTGTCCAACATGGACATATTCGGGCGTTATCTGCTGGGATAGCTCACCCGTTAAAGAGCACGTTGTGCTGCGGGCATACGCCCATGTTGGCGCGAATGGCGTCCATGTCCTTGCGGATGTCCAGGCCGTAAAGCCTGGCCGTGCCGGACGATGGCGTGCACGTCCCCGTCAACATGGAGCTACGTAACAATTAGATTCGTCATTCGTTGTCGGCACACAGCGAAGGTCTCCACCACACTTGGCACTTACATGGTTGTGGTCTTGCCCGCTCCGTTGTGTCCAAGGAAACAGCTGATCTGGTTCTCATAAAAGTTCAAGCTGAGACCTTTGACGGCATCCTTCTTTCCAAAGACTTTGCCCAACGAGTCGATGGACACGCCAACGACTGCGTTCTCAGGCTCCGGCTCTAGGAAATTGCTGTTAGCTGGTGAGGCATACCAAACAAGTCACAAAATGAAATAAACATATAAAATTTAGAAAAGTAATCCGCAAACCACGGTAAAAACGGTGTCTGTTTTTTTTAATGAAAGGGGGAAAAGTTTGAGGAAACCTCTTCACCTCTCGCCTCAGATTTTGTTGGAATCTTCTCAGAAAATGAGGAAAAACTTCTTGGAAATCTAAAGAGTTTTCATCAAACCAAGAGAATCCCTTCTCTTTTTCCTAAAAAAAAAAGCCATTGTTTTTACCGTTCTTGTCAATTATGCCAAGATATGACGTCCAAAAGTATTCCTCCTTTATTTTCGTCGGCGCTCACCTAGATTCCCGTGCGGAGCAGGAAGTGTACTTGCGTCCTTCGGAGACGGAGTGCGTAACCAGTAGGACTTTTGGAGGAAGAAATAGAAATGCTTGGGCACTCCGAACTCCCCGGGGAACACGTTCTCGATGTACCACGCGAGCACGGCGTACAGCACCGCGTCCAACCAGAGCATGCCGATGGCGCCCGTTACTGTGTAGGACTCGCCCGGGCCTGCAGGGTCGTTGATGTTGGCCCACTGCAGGCCCACCCCGCTGTCCTCAGAGTTGGCCAGCACGAGGCAGGCTTCGGCTAGGGCCACGTTACAGAACAGGCTCTGCAAGTACAAGGGTCAGGTCAGGGTAGCAGGCCATTGAAAGTAGTTCGGCCGATTTCGCACACGAGTAACAGCAGGGGCAAGTATGACTCACGGTCGCGATGCCGGTGAAGACTGGGAGGAGGTAGATGCTGACGGCGGCCAGGCCAGCTAAGGTTGCTCTCGAGAAGAAGGTGGACACCAACATGGCGAAGGACATCATGGCGATGACGAACGACACGAGGAGCAGTAGGATGATGGTCACGTCTGACCGCTCGGCCAGCCCACCGAACTTGAGACGGAGGCTCAGCACGATGCAGGTGATGATGGAGCTGCACAGGCCCTCGAGCATCCAGCCCGACCACTGCACGCCGCGGCTCACGCCCATCACAGCCAGCAACTCCTTGACGCGCTCCTGCTTCTCCAGTACGACGCTTGCCACTGTCTGGGAGAAGGTGTACACCCAGGACAACACTATCACGAGCGGCAGGAGCAGCTTAGAGCCCAACCTACAGGAGAAACAATGTGTTGGCTTACCTAGGGGTTGTTTTTCATACTCCGTGATTTTTGAGGGAGGGAGGGGAATCTTTAAAGAACCATCTTAATTTATTTA